TTTAAGTTATTTTTTCCATTTAATGTTCGTTACTGCCACTCAGGCTTCTTCTATCCTTGGTGATTCCTTGTGTACACATTGTCGCTGGCACCGCAATAGTAAAATAACAGCACTTCGTTCACCAGGTGGCGTGCGACTTTACGATGTCTCAAATATTGTGGATTCCACCACCACCACCACCACAACTTCCTCCTCCCCCTCTTCCTCCACCTCCTATATCATGCAAAAAAGTTATGAAGTTTCATGTGCAAAAAAAAAAGAACTTAAAAGGCAACAACAGTGTGCCCCAACACGAACTCATTGGAAGTGGCATCAACTTCAAGAGGCCCGGCTTGTAAACCATACTGGAATAAGCATGTCGCAGAATGGTCGCAAAAGTTGTGGTCTCCTATAGGGACTGACTATGTTAATTCGCATATGATAGCAAATAATTTCTTAAACTCAATGATACAAGATTCTTGGTTCTCTTACAAGATGGCTCCTCCAAATACGAAACTAAATTCTGTTAAAATATCCTTGCCATCCAAGGAAAACGATCAGCAAGGTTTGTTCAGAATTTTTTATTAATCCTTTATTTATTCTAATAATATTAGCTATGTAGATATTGACAAGAATGGAAATAACAGTAACAGAAAACGCAAGAAGCCATTGAAGTCAACTCACCGCGCAAACGTCAAAAGTAGGCTGAACTAACTCGATCTCTAAAGGTTAGAGTGTACCCAAATTCCTCACAAAAAAATTTGTTGAAACAATGGATGGGTTGTGGTAGGTATTTGTTTTCATTATTGTTTCTTTTAAAAACATTGTAATTTTTAACTTTATATATTATATTACAGGCTTGTTTATAACATGGTGGTTACAAATTTCAACCATGGTCATTTATCAACTCATCAATTTTGGTTTCAATCTCTTCTTAAACTTAAGATTTCACATACTCTTAAATGGAGTTTCATGAAGGACTATCCATATGAAGTGCTTGACCAGGCTATTACACATGCAATTCAAGCTTGAAATGAAGTTGTCTGTTAAAATAATAAAATTAAATATAAAAAAGATCGTCTTCATTTTTAAAGAAAAAAAGTATATATAAAAAAATGTTTTGATAATTATATAAATATGTTGCATTATCATCAATACTAATTTTTTATTATTTTTTTTATCAAAATAGGATAATCAGCAAACAATTACAATTTGTTCTCAATATTGTCATAAATCACTTAATTTTATATCTGTCTTCTACATAATAAAAAATTATCAAATCAACAAATCATTATAAAGACAAAAATCCTCTTCTTTTTCTGTTGCATCATGAATACCGTCAAAAAAAATCATAAATAGCCAAATTTAGTTTAATGGATTCAAAGTTAATATTTAATAAAAAATTAAATTATTGGACATTTGTTTAGGTATATAGTATGTTTAGCTTTTTTTTATAGGTTTTTAAATATAACTACTAATAATTTATCTTTTATATTATAACAGGCAAAAATGTTGAAAATTGTGATGATATCTTTTTGTTACTTAAATTTAGTAATATTATTATAATATTATACATAACAAAATGATTTATAAACTGTGGTGTATATCATAATATGTGAAAGAAGTGCTAAGAAAAGGAACTAAATTGACATTTTATACATTTTGATAAATAGTATTTTGTATTTCCCATTATATATTCTGAATATATGTAATGTAAGATTTACATTCATTTATAGTAAAAAAAAAATTTTTTGTTAAATGTCAATTTGATTTCTTTTCCAGCATTCCCTTTATATTGTCAACCCTACACCACTCATCAATTGTTATACTATAGTGTCTGTATTTTTATTTGTAAACATATGCAATAGTATCTTTTTATTAAAAAAAATAATAATTACATAATGAAATAATAGAAAAAGAAAATATATTTATTTAATGTTATCAGATAAAACTTATCAAAACTATTGAAATCAAAAAGTTTTAACTTTTTAAAATATGATTTGAGTTTTACCCTGTAATCTTAATTTATTTTAACTTTATTAATTATGAGTTAATTTATTCAATGTTGATAGTTCACTCTTACTAAATACTTGGATTTTTACATAGAAATCAAAAAAGAAAAAATTATTTTTTTTAATTTAAAAATTTGACAGCTCTATAAATAGCACGTAGAAAAAAACACGCAATCTTATCATTTTAACATTTTAATATTAAGTTTAATTAGTCCAGAACGTAATATATAATCAACAAGAATTAATATATGATTGGCCTTTTCTTTCATTACACTTGTGAACAAAACCTTCTCTAATAAAGTAGATGTCAAAATTTAATAATCTACAGTAGCGGTCATAAGTATCTGACTGCCCGAGATCATCCAAAATTATTATATAACTACCCCTTAAATTTTCCAGAAATATAATATAACACAATACATG